TGGAGTATGGCAGTGGTTTGTTACCTCACAGGACACAGTAAGGGTCTCCCAGAGCTGGTGGGAATAGCACCAGTCATGGGAAAGACTGGACAACTGCTTTGAACTCCACCAAGCTTTTTAAATCCTTTACCTCTGTGATGACGCACTGGAGCCACTAGTGCCTGTGAAAGCTCACTGATTCAGATTTGGCATTTATGAGGCTGAATCAGCTGGGAGGAGACCAGCTTCAAAAGCTATGTGGGCAATGCACAAGTCTCAGGAACTCTGAAGGGTACTCACTCAGGATGTTAGAACAATAGCCACCTTTTGTCTCAGTCTTTACTACAGCAGCCCAGAGCACACTGCTTGCCTCATACCACTGTGTGAAGACCGGCTCTCAGGTCAGCCCTGTCCACCATCTGGAAGGTTCCACTCACCTGGGTTGGGCTACTATTTCATGAGGTGACTTGTCATCCAGTATAGGACTGAAAAAAGGAGAAAAGGTGAGTATATGAAAGTCTTACAAAACTAGTGTTGAGAGATAAACTTGTTTGTAATATTTTCTCTGGCTTTTACTGTACAGTTATGGAGGAAATATGTGGGTGGACCCCTGTAGTGTTCAAATTAAGGTAATAAGTGAGGTAGCTACTACCTGACCTAGTTGTGCAAAATAGGCCTGATAAAGAGCTTCCTCCTGTTCTCCTTTGGGGACGAGACATGGGAGAGGGGACAGGTAAAAAAGGACAAAGAGTGATGGTGGAGGGGTCAGGCAGGAAAGAAATGAAAGTATAGGGTGGGATTTATACTCACTGTTGGTTATGCAAGAGCAGATACAGCACTATCACCCTGAACAGGAACTCATTCACAGAGCTCAGGAGATGGAGAAGGATACTGCCTAGGTGGTATCAGGAGCTGCTGTACCAGGTCTTGGTGCTCTGAAATCCAGCAACAGGCCTAAATATACCAGTGTGGGCTCCTAAGCCCACAGGCCTCAGCTACTCTGGCTGTCTCACTGCTGGCTCCACTGCAAAATAGAGGTGCCGTCATGGTAGGTGCACAGGCTGGACTCAGTGGGATCAGCAGAGGGCTCTAAATTACCATCTCACTGCCATAGTGACCTTATCTCAGCCCACTGATAGTGAACTATGAAAGTCCACTGCCCCTGTCACTCAAGGGACAGCTTGATTGCTTATTTAATCTGGTAATACACCAGTCTGCAGGGCTAGGTGTGAAATCACACTGAATCAAAGGTACTTCAAAAAGTTTAACTTATGCATTTTATGAAATGAAGACTACAAAGCAGTCATCTGAACTTCAGTTACAATTAGCCAGAATGGAAGCACTCAAGAATAAGTTTCAACACAATAAGCTTCAACACAAAGTTTACCCTCTTTTGAACTATAAATTTCATATTACTTTTTATAAAAAATTGAGTGACTATGATTTTTCCTAATCTTCTATTATCTTTCATGTCAATAGATTTTCCTTTCCAAATTCCACTTGGTAAATTTATTGGCTCAATGCTCTGTGCATGGTACAGACACAATAGAGTACCTGTATTTCATCTATTACTTATCTTGAGGAATCCTAGTTTTTTTGCTTCTATTTTTTATTATAAAGTTTTACTTTAGTTATAGAAAAATGAGAAAATCATAGCAAAAAAGAAAATGCATAATGTTTCATCCTACATTTTACAACTGATAGGTAATACATTTATTGTAAAATATACATACATAAAACTACCATTTTAACTATTTTTAAGTATCTAATTCAATGGCATTACTTACATCCATCACTACTATTTCCAAACTTTTTACTTCATTCCATACTGAAACTCTTGCACCCATTACACAATAATTCCCTATTCTCCCCTCCTGTCAGCCTCAGGTAACCTCTAATATACTTTTCTGTCTCTATGAATTGAATTATTCCAGGTATCTAAGGATAATATTTATCCTTTTGTAACTGGCTCCTTTCAATAGCATAATGTTTTTGAGATGCATCCATCTTGTAGGTATCAGTGCTTTAAATGGATGGACTATGTTTTATTTATTCATTTCCAGGTAACATTTAGGGTTTTTTTCCAGGCTTTTGTCTCATGTGAGTAATGGTGTTCTGAGCTGGGGCGCAGTGGCATGCACTTGTAGTCATAGCTACTCGGGAGGCTAAGGCAGGAATTTGAGGCCAGCATGGGTAACACGTCTATACAAGCATTTTATACTTTTGTATGTCTTTCCTGACTTCTAGCCTCCATCTATCCATCCATCTACTTTGAAACATATAATTCACAAATTATAAACATAATTTACAAATAGCTTACATTATAACATTTTACACTTAATTTATAGCATTTTTTCCACGTCATTAAATATTTTACATAATTACTGGCTGCATATCATTTTATTATATAAGTATAGAACAGTGAATGTAATCAACCCAATACCATTGGGCATTTAATACAATTTATTTATTTTTTGAGATGGTTTCTTTATGTAGTTCAAGCTGGCCTTAAACTCACTATGGAGCCCAGGCTGGTCTCAAATTCTGGGTAATCCTCCTGCCTCAGCCTCCCAAGTGTTGGCATTATAAGTGTGTGCCATCACACCCAGCCCATTGGGCATTTAAAGTGCTTCCCTTTTCTGGCTGATTATAAACAGCAGCTAAATTTTGTCCTGGGAATAAGTTTTGAGACATTAATTTGCTACAATAATATTAATAGCTAAGAGTGGTGAGCGCTTTTTATGACATTATAAGCACTTTATGATATTTGATGTGTACAAGGTTGTGCTTCAGGGGCACATGATCTAAGATATAGCCATTAAAAATGATTTGTACACCCATATTAACTGACCTGAAGAGATGTTCATAATACATTGAGTAGACATGTTTATGTACGTATGTATATACGTACATATTGCGGTACTGTGGATTGAACACAAAGTGTTTGCACTGAGCTACAGCCCCAGCTTTTTGTTTTCAGTCTTGCTGTATACTTCAGGCTGGCCTTGAACCCACTATAGAGGCTGGCTTCAAACTCTTAACAATCCTTCCACCTTAGCCTTCTAAGTGCTAGGATTATAGGTATGTGCCACCATGCCCCCCCTTTTAATCTTTTGAGACAGGGTCTTATTGAGTTGCCCAGGCTGGGCCTGATCTTGTGATCCTTTTACCTCAGCCTCCTAGAGTTCTGGAATTACAGACATATGCCACTATACCTGGCTGCTCATTTTAAAATAAATGCACAACAAACACACAAAACTCCACTAGCAAATAATATAGTATGGAATTATTAAGTGTGATTAGCAAATGGCAATTATTGAATCTAGTGAAAAGTATTTGGATTTCATTCTAGTGAAAAGTATATGATTAGCAAATGGCAATTATTGAATCTAGTGAAAAGTATTTGGATTTCTAGTAAAAAGTATTAATCTCTCAACGTTTCTATAGGTTTAAATTTATTCAAAGTAAACTGGAGAAAAATATATCTTCTGGGAACTAGGATTACTTTAGCAACCTCAGGAATTGTGGGAATTGGCCTGTTTTTGAATTTTGTATTCAAGGACTTTGTGTGCTACACTTCCAATGCTGGTATCAGATGTTTCTGACAAAGCTTGCTCCACCATCTGGTGAACACTGACCTCAGGAGCACTGTACACTCTGGGTGCTGATGTATGCCTTCTCCTGGGGCTGCATATGAGCACTACTTTTACCTTATACCTTCAGCTTGCTTAATTAGATGGTCTACCAGTTTGGACAGATCTCAGTTGAACTTTGTACCTGGCTAACTAGATTAACAGTATACTTTCAGTGTCATCCAACTTTTCCACTAATGAGAAACTAGCCAAAAGAATTAATAAATGTGCTGACTCTACCAGGAAATAATCAGACAATTCCAATGTCCAAAGTTGGACTGACCTCAGATCTTACATAACCAATGAAAACAATACTGCAGAAATGTGTTGACAGATATGAAAAAGATAAGTCATAATATGCAGTGCAAAAAGCAAGTTAGACAACTGTGGTTGTGAGCAAAGTCTATCTAAAAAATTACATCCACAAATTTGGCATAATATACAAATGTTTGCATGTCTAAATAAGTGGAATTTTAGGTGTTAGTGCTTTATGCTTATCTGTATTTCCTGACTCATCTGTAATAAATGTCTTGCTAAAAACAAAAATCACTCAAAGGCTGGGTGTGGTGAAGCACGCCTGTATCCCAAAACTTGGGAGGCTGAGGCAGGAGGATTGCCACAAGTTTGAGGCCAGCCTGAGCAACACAGTGAGTTCAAGGCCAGCCTAAACTACATAGAGATCTTATCTTTTAAAAAAATCACTAAAAGATAAAATACACAAATCTAATTATAGAATTTCTTTATAATAAAAACTTAAACATGAGATTATATAACACCTAAACATTTAAATCATCTTATATACCTATTTACAAGATGCAACCTGCATTGTGGCCAAGACTTCAACTTCTAGGCTTGGGACAACTAGGCTACATCTTGGCTGTGTCTCAGTGACTGACCCTAGCTAGGCTTCCTAGACTAACTGTCTTCAGCTATGTCTGGGAAATAGTAGCAGTGTCAATCTTACAGCTTTGTTGAGGGTCCCATAATATGTGGAAACAATAAACTATGCTAAGCACAATGCCTAGCAGTACCGAGTGCTTCATAGGTTATTAGTAAGGTAGATGCAAAGGACCACATGTTTTCTGTATACACTGACTGCAGGTAGATTCTACCTAAGCCTAGAGGCTTCCACTGGGCCCTATGATAGCTATGCTGGACATACTACCTTGCCTTCTAAAGAAGGGTGCAAGCAAAAGCTAAAGCAGCAATCCCAGCCCATTCAACTTCCTGGAACCTCCTTCTCCAGTTGGGAGGTGAAGGTGAAGGTGATGGTGAACTCCTATTAGAGCACAAAGCTCAGGAGGCCAAAGGTCAAAGACCAAGGTCTGTCGCCCCACAAGGAAGAAATATCCCTCCGGGCATCTACTTGGAAAAGAAAGTACTATACACTTTTAAGATACACAAAAGGAAGCTATTTATTTGGAAAATAACATATTCAATAAAATAACATATTATTTCCCAAATTCAATATAAAGGGCAGGACAGATACTCTAAGCAACCAGGAGAGGTCTTCAACAATTGTTCATTTAACAAAATAAAACTTTTAACTGATTATGTGTAGTAGTGTTTTTCCATATTTCCCTGGTGAAGAATCACTGAAGTCCTCTGTAAAGTTTCCCTGGAAATTAATTTCATTAATTCAATGGGTCCAGGATGGGTCAGAAATTTGGAATTTTTTATTTTTACAAATACTTTACATGACTAACAAGTCCAGGGAAGTTTGAAAAACACTGAATGGAACATAGCATTTAGTTTCCTTTGAAGATTTGTCTTGAACAACTGATCCTAGAATGATGCACTGAAAAGTCTTACTCAGTTCAGTTTTAGGAAAAAAATTAAGACTTATGAAGGTTTGGGCAGGGGATACAGCTCAGCGGTACAAGCAGACTTACTAAGGTTTGGTTCCATATATTCTCTTCCTAAGATGCATCATAAATCCTTTGTTTTAGTTGTTTCCATTTCTGTCTCAGCTCTTCCAGATCATGTTTTTCCTGAAGGGTTTATTTTTTGTGATTGAAGACTAACAAGTCAATCAAATCATTTTGTACAAGTGGTTTCTATGAAAAGATTGTCATATGTAATAACTCCTGTATGCTTCTAAGTCTTGCTCCCTTCTCTCTTGGCACTTAAGAAGTTAGGCCACCTTGTACAGTCTCAATATTCCGACTTTTCCACCTTAAACCTCATGTTGACCACTCCGTCTATGCCAGCCTCGATCTCATCGTTTTCTTTAACTGGCCCAACTCCCTTTGGCGTCCCCGTCAAGATAAGGTCTCCTTCTTCCAAGGTTATTATCTTAGAAACATAGCTGATGATGTAGGGGATGGAAAAGATCATGGAGGATGTCTCGCCCTCCTGCCGAAGTTCGCCATTGACCTTGAGCCACAGTCTCAAGGCGTGAGGGTCAGGGATTTTCTCTTTGGGCACGAAGGCGCTGACCGGGCAGGAGGAGGTGAAGCTTTTGGCCAGGGTCCAGGGCAACCCTTTTTTCTTACACTCATTCTGCACGTCCCTGGCGGTCATGTCCAGGCATAGGGCGTACCCAGCCACGTAGTCCATGGCGGCGGCCTCGGGGACGGCGCGGGCACACCTGCCCATAAGCACGCCTAGCTCCAGCTCGTGGTGCAGATCTCGGCAGTAGGGGGGTATCAGCACCGGTGAGCCCTCGGGCGCGTAAGCGGTGGATGGCTTCAGGAAGAGAACGGGTTCGCGGAGTACCGTGCTGCCCATCTCCCGGACGTGGTCGGCATAGTTCCTCCCCACGCAGATGATGTTCTTACCCCATTCCCAGAAGAGGGACCAAGGCCTAGGGCCCGCCATGGCGCAGTCTGGGTCACGTGGGCGCGTGCTCTCGCGCCTACGGCAAGCTAGAAGGGACGTGCTGCCTCGAACCGCTTCTGGTCAGCAATTGCCCGCCTTACCTTGCTAGGATCCTGAGTGCCGCTATCCTCTGGCTGCCTCGGAACGCCACTATAGGCCAGGGGAGGTACTGAAGTTCGAGCGCCCCTCTTCACCAACTTTGTCCCACGGCCCCAGGCTTGGGCCCAGATACGCTGGCCAGGGACGTAGGAAGGAATTCTTTGGACTGGAACCCGGTGATTGGCTGGGGGTGGTGCTGGGCGGGCGAGACGGGCGCTGGAGAGCTGGTTGGCCGGAGGTAGTGATGGGCGGGCACTGGCTGACGGGGGGCGGTGCTGGGCGGGCACTGGTTATTGTGGGCGGTGCTAGGCGGGCGCTGATTGGCTGTGGCCGCGGACGCCCGCGTCGCGGCCAGACGCTGGACAGTGCCGCCCCGCGGGTCATGGTGTTCGGCCGTGGGTCGCTCTCCCTACGGAGCCTCGCCGCGCTGGGAGCCGCCTGCTCGCGCCGCAGCCTGGGTAGGTGCGCCGGGGCACTGCCGGGCGTCGGTTGGGCGCCTCGACTCAGTCTCCCAGGCGCAGGAGCTGATCGCCTTCGGGCCGGGCGAGGAGCGGGCCCGCGGAGAGGTCGGCGGGCGGGCGGGCACCTGGTCCCTTTCCTTGCGGCCCGCAGACTTTGCGGTGGTATCGCGTCACCGCGCCGGAGCTGGCAAGCCTGAGCCCGGCCCTTTTCCGAATTTCGCCGAAAGCAGCCACGGTTCTGGAGTGTGTGACACGCCCTTGCTGAGGAAAGAGAGCCAGCTTGTTGAGGTCCCCAGAACTACAGGCCTTTGCATTAGACACCCCCGCCCCCCACTATCACGGCCGAGAGCTTTTCCATGAAGACCGCGCAGAGGGTCTATGCAGACCTGGCTTCCCATTCCAGGGAGCCCCTGGCTCAGTGTTTGGTGTCGTAGTCTGCCAGAGAGGTAGGGCCGTGAAACGTCTTGATTTTTAAAATATGTTGTGGGCCAAGGAAAACATGTCTGTGGGCTTGGCCTACGCTGCAGGCTACAGGTGTGTGACCTCTGCTTATGCAAAATACCCTGGTGCCAAACCAGTGAGCTGGGTTTTCCAGGCAGTGCCCAGGTAGGTTATTTGTGGAAAAGGAATAAGGTTTCTTGTGTCAGGAGGTCAGTTCCTTCCTTAGAAATAAATGCATCCTCTCCAAGTTGCCAGCAAGGTTGAGCATGAGTTATAAATCTTTTCTTCCGCCTGGGCACTGTTTGTAATGTCCTCCTAGAAAACAGCACGGAGCACCTTATTAAGGGGGGCAGTTTCACTCTCACTGAGTCCTATTTTCACCCTCTGTCTTCTGTGGGCTGGATGCTGCTGGGGGTTAGGGGAGGTAAACTATCACAGAAACCCGATCATACAGAAATGTTTATTATGCAGTGCTTGAGAAGGACCTAGAAGATATTCAGCCAGTTTGTCAAAAAGAAGAATTGGGGTGGAGTGGGGACATGGCTCAGTGGTAGAGTGCTTGCCTAATACCCATAAGGGCTTGAGTTCAATCCTCAGCAACACAGACACACACACATTCACAAAAGAAAGCACAAGCACAATTTGGGCTGTTTTCCTGGCCATGAAAGAATTGATCCCACATTTATTTGTTTGTTTTTTGGTACCAAGAATCAAACTCAGGGCCTTGCTCTTGCCAGGCAGGCACTGTGCCGCTGAGCTTTCTCCCCAGACCCTGGAGGTGTTGTCTTCTAGAGGGCCAATGCTGTCACTTTCTGGTTCCCTTTTGGGAAACACCCCCAACCTGGCATCTACCCCAGAATTGCACTATCTTCTGCTATCTTGTGTGGGTCCTTCTTACTGAGCTACATCCCCAGCCCTTTTTTAAAATTTTGAGACAGAATCTTCCTAAGTTTCTCAGGCTGGGCTCAAACTTTCGATGCTTCCATCTCAGCCTTCCACAGTTCTGGGATTACAGGTGTTCATTACCACCCTGGCTTTTTTTCTCCCTATACAGCTAAGACTTGTGTTGCTGGGGCCTTATGTATTTTTAGACTGAATAGAAGTTTTATTGGTGAGACTATTTTGGCATCTGCCCAGTGGGTGGAGGACGATTTTGTTCTTCAGCCACTCGCTTCTCCCCACCTCCTGGCCACCCAGGCAGAGGCCTTTTGCTCACCTGGGTGGTGGTTTTGTACCCTCCAGTCTTGAATTCTAAGCAGTGATGGCCAACTCAGAATTTCCCAGTGCTCTATGCTTGACCCATCTCAAGTGTCTGCCATTCAGGAGCAAATACTATTTTCTCCTGTAGCTGCAGGCTGAGAAGGGCTATGAATACCCATACAGGACTCAGGCCTCTCAGCCTCCAGCTACAGAAGAAGAGGGAGGCAAACTACTGCACTGGAGGGTAAATAGCCCAGCTCTGTCACCTTCTCCCAGAACCACAGTGGTCTCTTCAACTGTGGTTTGCATCATGCTAAAACTGGCAGTTCTGTCCTTTCAGGACCCTTGCGAGATGAAAATTTAAATTCGAGACAGCTGGTTTCCACAAATGGGAGCATGAGACATTTTCTACACTTGTTCTGATGGATGTGGTAAAACTAGGACATTCTCTGTCAGAGGAATTTAGAAAAATCCAGCTGGGTGCTGGAAGGGGTGTGGCTCCTTTGAATTTTCATTTCTGGCCACTGACCTGGGGCTGCATCCTGGGTCCTCAGGCCCAGCCCTGCTGGAAATCCTGTATCACACAGATTTAAGGAAGAGTTTGACTGTGGAACAAGGCACCATGAAGATTGAGCTACTACCTGCCCTGACTGACAACTACATGTACCTGCTCATTGATGAGGAAACCCAGGAGGCCGCCATTGTGGACCCAGTGCAACCTCAGAAGGTGCGAGGTTCTGCCTGGATCCCTGTGCTTTGTCCCCTAGCGCCATGTCTTCCCAGTGGTTACATTTCTGTTGTCCTTGCAGCTCTGTCAAACTTAAGTGGAGACCAGTCTATTTAGTTTTTGGAAAACAAACTAGTGTCCTTTTGCTATTGTCCAGCTACTCTGTTAAGGAGGCCCTTGAGAGGGTGGAGGAGACCACAGGCCCCATGGAGCAAACAGTGCTGGCCTTTGGGCCCCGGGGCTGGACTCTTATGAGGCCTTGGGACTTGGCTTTCCCTCCAGGCTTTGGCCTCAGTGCTGACCTCAGAGCTGGATAGGCTTAGAGAGGTCCAAGTGGAATTGAGAATCATCAAGTTGAACAAGAGGGGAAAAGGCCACCTTCTCTGTGCTGTCCCAGAGTGGGGCCAAGCAGCAGGGGCAAGATAAGGACCCGGAGTGTGACAGACCTTTGTCCTGCTTCCCCCCTGGCCATAGGTTGTAGAAACAGTGAAGAAGCATGGAGTGAAGCTGACTACAGTGCTCACCACCCACCACCACTGGTAAGTGCTGGGTCCCAGCTGGCCTCTGGCTCTGGGAACTCTTGGGGGTAGGCAGGGGTCTGTCCCTCACCTGGGGGAGGGCAGGGGCCTGGCTTGTAGTGTGTGTGAGGGAGGCCCCTGGGAAGATTCTGAGCACCAGGGCCCCTCCCTCCTTCCCCATAGGCTTGTTGGCCTCTGAGGTGCTGACCCCAGGGCCCTGAGTATGGGGTCTGCTAATGCATGTGGCTTGGAAAGAGGGAAAAGGATAGGGCAGTGTCTTCAGTGCTGCTTCCCCTGCTGTCCCCTTGGAGCCTGGCTTCTCTGGGCCATGGGAGGACCCCCAGCAGCTGCCTCTCTCATCCCCTGGGCTTGTAAAGTGGGCATTGGCTTCCATATTGGACAAAAGGATCCTAAGCATCAGTTTTTTTTTTTTTAATAAGAAGTCATCTTTCAAGAGTTTTTTTCCTGTACCTGGAATTGAACTCACGACCCTGTGCTTGCCAGGCAGGCGCTGTGCCGCTGAGCTAAATCCCCAGCCCCAGTCCTGACTTCCTGTACTGACAGGAAACGGATGTTCCCTGGTACCGGGAAAGCCTGAGCTGAATGCCTGAAATGGAGCCTACAAGTGTGAGAGCACCCAGCCTAGGCAGGCTGGAAATGGAATGCCATTCAGAGGGCTCCAGGTGATTCCCACAGGCCTGGGATGATCTAAGTTTGGGTGATTTGCTTCCTCTGCTTCAGAAAACATCAATGACACAGTATGGCGGTGCATCACTCAAAACTGGGAATCAGAGATTGTTGTTTTCTCTTGAGCCAAATGACAGACAGGAAACCTTTCCGGTGTTGAAAGATGTGTTTCTACTTCTGAGGAACATAGTAGGCAAAATAAAAACTCCATCTGTCAGGGTTTAAAGGCAAGTAAGCAGACCCCTTCATCCAGTAGGTTACCCCATGTCTTCTGTTTGACTTCCAGGGACCATGCTGGTGGGAACGAGAAGCTGGTCAAGCTGGAGCCGGGGCTGAAAGTGTACGGTGGCGATGACCGAATTGGGGCCTTGACTAACAAAGTCAGCCACCTGTCAACACTGCAGGTAGGGAGTAAGCCAACAGAAAGGATTCAGGGTGGCTGTGTCTGGCCCTAGGCCCAGGGCACAGTTTGGGGAGGGGGCACAGTGAGAGCCCTTCTTCACCTCAGGATTCAGCACAGTTGTCCCTGTGCCTGCCTTGGTGGTGGTTTAGCAGTCTTTTCCATCTAGTACATAGCAAGAAAATTAGTGTGTGAAATGCAGCCGGATGTGGGAAGGCCATAATGCTTGCTCTTAGTGGACCAGAAAGTTCTTTTCGTCAGTGCTTAGGATAGAACCCAGGGCCCTTGCACTGAGGTACATCTCTAGCCCTTTTTAAAATTTTTTACTTTGAGATGGGGATGCTAAGTTATCCAGGCTAGGCTCAAACTCCTGCCTCTGCCTCTCAGAATGCTGGGATATAGGCTGCACCACCATGCCAGGCTGGACTAGGGAATTTAAAAAGGGATTGTGGGGTGATGTTTACTTCCTGAACGTGGTGGTGGTGGGATTATGCTGAGAGGTATGTGTAGGAGATGCAGCAGGAATATTTGGCAAGATTTGTCAGGATGTGAACATGCCCGTATGTTTGTGTGGAAAGTGTGTACATTTGGGGAACCCCACTGAGAACTACCAGGATATCTGTCTTGCAGTGTCCGCTCTGTCATAGGTGTGGCTTCTGAAGTAAGGAATTGCAGAGGTGGGTCAGAGAAAGAGAGGTGACTTTTCAGGCAAGATGCCTGGTTTAGATTTAGCCATTTTGAAGAATGAACAAAAGAAGATCCTTTGGTTCAGCCCTGTGCAAACCATTGGAGTGGTCCCTGGGGCTGCACCCAAGGAGGAAGCCCTGTAGCCACCTTTACCCTGCCCAGAGCTCCTTCTCCTGTGTGTTTCTACAGGCATCTGCAGAATTGGGAAAACTAGATGGTCTGGATGGGGAGGGTTTGTATGGGACCAGCAGTGCCCCCTGCTTGTGAGCCCAAGAAAGATGCTGAGTTGTCAGGGTTCATGTCAGCCCCCACTTCGTTTCATTTCAGGTGGGATCTCTCAACATCAAATGCCTGTCGACACCATGCCACACTTCAGGACACATCTGTTACTTTGTGACCAAGCCCGGTGGTTCAGAGCCCCCTGCTGTGTTCACAGGTGAGTGTGCCAGGGCATGGGGCTAGGTGGTCCTTGTGAAGTTCTCGTGGCTCGTGGCCTGGAACCCCCACACAGAGAAGCAGCTTTTCCTACCACACAGACTCACAGGGCTGCTGTCCTCTGCCCTAAATCCCGTGTGGCAAACCACATCCTAACCTTGGGTCTCAGCTTCAGACACATTCGAGTCTATCATCAGGGTGGTACTAGGGAGTTGGGGGACCCTATGACCCCTTACTATGCCATGCTGCTGCCATATGCCTGGGAGGACAGCCTCCCACCCCTCAACAGCAGATAGATGGCCTGGCCTGAGCAGGGGCCTGGCCAAGGGAGATGCCTGGGTGCCATATATTCTTCCCACATACCCCCTGAGAGCCCTATGAGCCAGGCTGGGTGCAGTACAAGGCAGTACCCCAGGCCCAGTCCCCATGTCCTACTTGTAGTGATCTGCAGAGCCAGCAACCCCATGGGGCAGTCCATGGTTAAGGGAGTTCTAGGAGCTGCTATGGTAACTGTGACCATCACTGAGCTTTGTGGGGGCCCTGAGTCAGCTTCCCAGGTGGTGTGTGTGCTACAAATACTCAGGACACAAACAGGTATATCCGGAAATCTCAGGAATTTCCCCTTTCTTAGTTAGAGAAATCAAAATAATATTGGTGCTGATGTAAAGGTGGCCAAGCAGGCACCAGAACAAGGGCTGAGGGCCAGACCTGCTCTTCAACTTTGTGAGGGACTGTGGTGCTAAATTTTGAGTTTCGCAGAGCTTTAGGCCACATGTTGGTTTAGAGATACTGGCTGAGTGCACCTAGGGTTCTTCTGAGATATGGGATGTAGCTGGCTGGAGTAGAGGTGACGCAGTGTTAGGCACAGATGTGGCTGGGTAACCAGAATGATGTGAACCTGAATGAAATGCTTGGAGTGTGGATGGGGGTCTGTAGCTTTTCTTTTCTTTTTTGAGACAGGGTCTGACTGTGTAGTTCAGGCTGGCCTTGCACCCATTGTGGAGCCCAGGCTGGCCTTGAACTCACAGCGATCCTCCTGCCTCAGTCTTCCATGTGCTGGGATTATAGGCATGTGCCACTACTCCTGGTGGTAGCTTTTTTGTAAAACTAAAGTTATTCCACAACCTCTGCTTATTTTTAAGTATAGCTGTAGAGACTTTCCATTTGTTTAGGGCAGTAGCATATAATGTAGGCTGGGGACCTTGGGTCCATGTTGGGTTCTGGATCTGCTTTCCCCCACTCAGAGCAGAGGCGCTACCTTATCAGTTGGTGTCCTGGATCAGAATGTGGCCAGTGCTTACATTTTCACTGTGATTAGTGACGTTGGGTGGGATCTCCATGAACTGCAATTGTTGCTGTGGCAAAATGGTGATGCTGTGTGGTCCTCAGGGTTAGGTGAGCAGGTGTGGAGTCAGCGTGGCTGGTAACTCTCAAGGCCCTTGCCTGTCCTGTCGGAAAGCCTAGGTTTATCACAGGTTCAGGGAACCACAGCAGAAAGTCAGAATTTGGAGGTGCCATAGAGGGTGACTGCTGTGGGACACTGACCTGACAGTTTTGCACTTGTTACTGTCACGTGTGTTACAGTGGCTGGCAGCGTGACTTTCATAATGACCCTGTGCAAACTGACAGTGTCCTCCAGGGTAAAGTGCAGGTGGGTGGCCTGGCACTGACAGTGAGGTCCGATGGTGGGAAGCGGACTCTCCAGCAGAGCGTAGCCAGGATAACCCAGGGCCCCCAGCTGAACTGAGGGAGGGCAGAGGTGGAGGAGGCAACAGACCAGAGAAGGGCACGGTGGGAGGGACTGGTGTCCCTGTAGCTGCAGTAGAGGATAAGGCACTCAGGGTGAGATGGGCAGGCAGGGTGGGGCCCGAGGGACAGGAGCAACCTGGGTAGAGTCTGCATGTGGGAAGGATCAAGTTCAGGGCGTCAGGGAATCCCACCGCATGGCAGTGGGGCCAAGCAAGGGTCCAGGAACAGTGCAGCTGGCCAGGGAGCGGGAGGCTGAAGTGGATGCCAACCATGGTGCCCAGTGAAGCAGGCCAGAGTGACAATTCCTAGGGTACATAGGGGTAGGGATGGCCCCAGAAGGCTGGGGTAGAGGCTGGGGCAGTGTGAGGCCTGCAGGGGTGTGGACACCTCAGGTGCTTTTGGCAGCAAAGGGCAGGCCCAGCCAGGACTTAGGTGCCAAGGGAAGGGAAGTGGGAGAGGGCTTGGAGGGGTGCCAGGTGGGTGGGGAGCAGGAAGATTTATAAGGTGGGACCGGGGGCTGTGAGAATGGGGTTGAGCTGACTTTAGTTCTAGACCTGAACAGCTGGTTGTTGTCCATGGTGCCATACGAGACCTGAAGCAAGGCCCAAGAGTCCACCCTTGGGAGGCAGAGCATTTGAGGATGCCTGTGGGTGTCTGGGTGGACGCGACCAGTGGTCAGTGAACTCATTGCTTTCAGCCCACAATGCCAGAGGCTGTGGCCAAGTTCCCTGGCCTCCCTTGAGCCTTAGCCAGCTGTACTAGTGGCTCCACTGCATGGCTGCCGGTGTTTTCCAGGTGACACCTTGTTTGTGGCTGGCTGTGGGAAGTTCTTCGAAGGGACTGCGGATGAGATGTACAAGGCACTGCTCCAGGTCTTGGGTCGGCTCCCTCCAGACACGGTGGGTTGCATCCCCTGGTCTGTGGGGTCCCGCTCTGTATGGAGCATCCCCACACCCTGGGCCCACCCTTGGGAGGCCAGGAGAACTGCAGAGCTACACGCACCCTAGGCCCCTGGTACAGGCCTCACCTGGAGCTGGGAGAGCAAGCTGGCTGAGGTGGCTCTTTAATATGCTTTTTATTGAAATTTAGCATATGTTTGAGCATGTCTAGTCCTAAGGGATGCCCCCATGAGTGTCCACTAGCCTTACTCACCCCATGAGGTACCCAGGTCAGAGCAAGGACATGAGTCAGCCCAGAGCCCTCAAGGCCTCCTTAGGAATTGCCGGCTCCATGGAGCTCATGTCCTGGCTCTTTCCCCAGAGAGTCTACTGTGGACACGAGTACACCATCAACAACCTCAAGTTTGCACGCCACGTGGAGCCCAACAACACTGCCATTCAGGAGAAACTTGCCTGGGCTAAGGTGAGTGGGGCCCATGGCTAGGGCATGTCGTGGCACTGTGACCTCCCAAGCAAGGCTCCCGCTGTCTGGGTGCCGCTGCCCTAGTTCTGTCTGAGGAGGGGGTGCAACCGTGCCACAGCCAGCCTGATGCCATCTAGCTGGTCTGACTTAGTGGGTCCCCCAGGGGACTCTGCTTCTGCATTTCTAACAAGCACCAAGGCTGAAACTGTAGGTTCTGGCTGGTTTCCCATACTCGGAGCAGTGGAGCTGGGACCTGTGTGGGGAAGCTGTCTCCGCTGTTGCTAGGAGGGCGGGGTCCTCAGATTCCTTATCTTGGCCCATGGACTGCCACAGCACAGCCCAGGGCCACTGGGCCGGGCTTGCCCGCTGAGGCTTCTCCAGGATGCAAGGGCTGTGTCCCTGAACTTGCTGAGAAATGGTAAGAAATGTGCACACACACACACACCCCCAATGTGGGGGCGGTCAGGTCTCAGCCGTGACTCTCTTCTGAGTCAGTGAGTGATGCCTCCTCCTGCAGCTTTGCGTACTTTTTAAATAACTACCTATTTCTGTCCAGCATCTTTTCCAGTTTCTTGAGGTCCTTACAAAATAATACTCAAAAGTTCAAACGCTCCCTTAATCATCTGACAAGTATGTGGACACCAGTGCTAAAGTGAAAGCTCATGCTGGGTACATAATGTAATTACCCCTTGGCAACTTCCCTTCCATAGTTTGCGTTTGTTTTTCTTCATGCTAGGGGTCAAACCCAGGGCCTCACACGTGCTGGGCAAATGTCTGCTTTTCGATAACCGAGCTTTGAGGCTCAGTTATATCTGGTAGAATGTACTGTTTTGAATGAACAGCCTGTTGCTCTTTTTAAAAAAAATTATTTTTATTAGTACATCTTTGCAGTATGTAATGATTACTTTCTTCTTGGGAAGTTGGTTTATGTACATAACTCCCTATGATTCTTTTCTCGTCCACCTCTCCCCCCCCTTCCTTCCCCACCCTTCCATCGAGTGTAAAGTCTGTTAGGACTCTGACAGTGCGTGCTGCTGTTGAGATACATGGTGCTGCTGCTCTTCAAAGGCCCCCTTGCTCCTTTCTACCCTCAGCTATTGATGTCCTTTCCATCACGGTAGATTACTCTGACCTAGCGCTTTAGGGAAACAGAAGCGAATAATCCTGCCCTGCTCTGCCTGGCCCTCTCGCCCCTCAGCCATTGATGGTGTTTCTGAGCAGTAGCCCACTGAATGTTTATCTGACCTCTGCTGCTGACATCTGGGTGGTTCCCAGTTTTTTGCTTACAAATAAAGTTATTGTGAATGTTCTGTAAAAATCCCTTTGTGGGCCCATGCTTTTACTGCTTTTGGGTACATTCCTGAGAGTGGAATTGCTGAGCTGTATGGTTAAAGGTACATTTAACACTTAGGAAATTACCAAGTATTTTACAGAGGAGTCGTGCTGTGCCGTACCCCACTCTTAAAGTGTAGGAAACCCCAGTTACCCCACATGCTCACCAACCATGAGTCCTGTTGGTCTTAAATTTTGTTATGATATGGTGTGTAGTGGTATCATATACTTTGAAAGTTACATTAATGATAATGAAAGTGACCGTCTTTTTATGTGCTATTAGCCTTTTATATGCTGACTTTTGGGAAGTGTATGTTCACTGTTTTCTTGTCCACTGTTTTCCTTTTTTTTTCTTTCCGGTAACTGGAATTGAACTGAGGACCTTATGCTTGCCAGGCAAGCACTTCTGCCACTGAGCTACATCCGGCCCCTCTTTTTTTTTTTTTTTTTTTTTTTTTTTGAGACAGGGTCTTACTATATAGTTTAGCCTGGCCTTGAACTATCTAGCCAAGGCTGGTCTTAAACTCACAGCAATCTCTCTGCCTTGGCCTCCCGAGTGCTGGGATTATAGGCATCCACCACCACACCCAGTTTTTGTCCATTTTAAATATTGGGCTGTCCTTTATTGAGTTATACAAGTGCCACATATCATCTGGAAATGCATCTTTGTCAAATATAAATAGATACCTCAAATATTTTCTCCCAGTTTATGGTTTCCTTTCTGTTTTTTTAAAACAGTTTCCTTTGAAGAACAAGAGTTCATACTTCATTCATATTTTCTTACACTTTTTGTGTCCTAAGAAATCTTTGCATACCCAAGGTCACAAAGACTGTCTTGGGGCTGGAGCTGCGGCTCAGTGCTAGCTACTTTCTTAGCATGTTTCACTGCTTCCTCTCCTGGTGCACATCTTTTATATTTCATGCCTTGTCTCACTGCTGAGGATCTCCATTAGTGTTAAGCAGTAGCATGTGTATATCCTGGGCTTGTTCCTAGTGCTATGTTCAGCCTTTTACTCCTGAACATGAGAACCTGTGGGCTTTTTTTTTTTTTTTTTTTTTCACATGGTATGGGGATTGAACTCAGGGCCTTCACACTGACCTACATCTCCAGCTTTTTTTTTTTTTTTTTTTTTCCAGACAGGGGCTTGCCAAATTGCCCAGAGTGGGCTTGAACTTGTGTAAATTGTCCAGGATAGGCTCAGACTTGTGATCCTCCTGCCTCAGCCTCCCAAGTGCTGAGATTACAGGTGTGCACTGGTTCACCTGGCTGCTGTGGGTTTTTTGTGCCTCTTCATTGGGTTGAGGAAATTCAATTCTATTCCCAATTTTCTGAGAGTTTCTATCATGAGTGGGTACTGAATTTTGTCAAATGATTTTTCTCTATTATATAATCATATGGTTTGGAAACAAAGCTTTTATAAATGGAGAGGAGGGGTTAAAGGGAGAGTAGGAGAATGGGAAAAAAAGAATCAAGTTATATTATATATAGGTACAAATTCTTTATGACGAATGTGATCATTATTTATACTAAGATGTACCAATAAAAATCATAAAAAAAGAAAAAAATAATCAAATGGTTTTACCTTTTAAACGTTTTGATATGGTAGGTTACACTGATCAGTTTCCAAATGTTAAACAAACCTTTTTAGTTAAATCTTGATCATGGTGTGTTACCTTTTTACATATTGCTAGTTTTCTATTTTTGTGTCTTTATTCGTAAGATGCATTGATCTGTAGTTTTATTTGCTTAAATGTCTTTGGCCCTTTTGGTATGGGCATATTGCTGACCTCAAGAGTTCAAAAGCATTTCCTCCTACTTTTGGAAAGGGTTGTTGTTTGGCTTTTTTGAGACAGGGTCTCACTAAGTCTCACATGCTGGCCTTGAGCTCACTGGGTAGCCCGAGCTGGCCTCAAACTTGAGGCGATCTTCCTTGGAGGAGTCAGCTCTCTTCCCTCCGAGGTGGTGGGAGGTGCTGGAGGAGGAGGGAGAAAATTGCAGGAAGCACAGAGAATGTCACAAAACACTCGATTGTTTTTCCCAGAAGAGACGGAGCAAAGACTAGTGACCAACCTGCACTATGACTCACTCCCTCAGATCCCCTCCCTGGCGAACCTCAAGTGGCTACAGGGACACTACTTGCTGCCACACTCTGAGGGAGGGGGTGTGGGATGGGGACCCTGAGCTCTGAGGGTCCCTGGGGTCAGGAGCCTGTGTGGGTGTCAGCAGCCACTGTCACAGCTTACGTATCTGCCCTATTAGCCTCGCTGCAGAAGGGATGGGGCTGCATGGAGACTCACTTTAGCTCCCTGTCTTGACCAGGCTACCTGAGTTGTCCTCTCTCTCTGGTAGTGCTGCTCAGGAGGGAGAGGAGATGACAGGCAAGTACCCCTAGGGTTTCACAAGCCTTCCTGAGGTACCTCGTGAGTCCTGGTTCCCTGAGAGCTGGCAGGGAGGGCACCTGTCCAGCCCTGTGCTGAAAGCGAGCCCGCCTCTCTGCAGATGGGCCGTCACCCACATTCTGTCTTCCTTTCTGTGCTTTCTTCATTTCTGTTCATCATTACTTCTGTCCTGTGAAACCTAAATATCACAGTCATGAAGAACAAGCTCCCCCTCCTCTGCACTCCCCTCTAGCACTGGCAGGAGGAGGCACAGTGGAAATAGCAGGTCATCCTCTGTGGGCTTCCTGCCAGCCCGCTCCTCCACAAGCAGGAGAGACTGGGCTTCTCCAGGGGAGTGTGAGTTGGGAACCCCCATGCTGAGCCTCTGCTTGCTCCACCTTCTCAGTTGGATTGTGAAGATCACTAAGAGGTATTTGAAATGCAGTCTCCATGTGACAGGGGTGTGTCTTGCAGGAGAAGTACGCCAATGGGGAGCCCACGGTGCCATCCACACTTGCAGAGGAGTTCACCTACAACCCCTTCATGCGTGTGAGGTGAGGAGTCCTGTGGCCACTTGTGCTGGTTTCACCTCAAGCAAGTGGCTAAACCACGTCCAAGCGCCCAAGTGGGTGGCGCTGACCTTCATCCCTGAATGGGTGGGACACTTACGGTGCCTTAGCAAGGATCTGGGGTCCATCTGTCCCTGGGCCTCCAGACCCTGTAGGCAGGAAGCTGCTGTCAGGATCCTGAGGCTGTGGGCCCTAGGCAGTGCAGGACCACATGGAGTCCATGGCTTCCCTCCTGCCCTGCTGGAAGGACCCAGCTCAGGCTTTCAGGTCTTTCGCAGTGGAGACAAGCCCTGGCCAGCTTCCTCTGTGTGTCCTGGCTCCTCCGGGCCCTGTGTGCTGTGTAGCCTGCAACCCGCATGCCTTTCCACCCTCAGGGAGAAGACGGTGCAGCAGCACGCGGGTGAGACGGACCCCGTGACCACCATGCGTGCCATCCGCAGGGAAAAGGACCAGTTCAAGGTGCCTCGGGACTGAGGTGGCCGCATCCAAACCCAGCGCCACCGCACGTTTCGGGAGTGGGAGTTTTAGGTAAAAAACTGTCCTGCTGGTCATGTAAAAATCATCTTGGTTTAATTTTAAATTAATTTCAGAGCACTTACCTGTGTTATCAAATGTTCTAATGCATATTTATAAGAGAAAAAGTTTAAAAATATTTATTCCTGTAACCTCTGCTTGCTGACTCTGTGTTGTCCCTTGCCTTAACCCCCTTTACCCACTGCGTCTTTCTCCTGGCGGTCATGTGATGGCCAGTGACAGCTGAACTGCTCAGAGCAGCCCTCCGTTCTGAGGGGCTGGGCAGTCCCCTTCCCCGGTCTGGATCTGCAGGGAGGCGGCAGCAGCTGGCATCGCCCTGGGTCCACCCTCTTGTGCCTTCCTCCACAGGATTTGGTACCCTTCTGGCTCTGTGTTGTCGTTTTTGTGACTGTGTCGACACGAAGTGAGCTGACTTGAGTCCTTTGGTAGCAGAACCCGCCCCAGCCTGGGCTGGGTCTCAGGTCCTTTCCCAGATCGACCTGCTCCTGGGAAGTCGCCAGCTCTCAGTATTATTGCGCATGAAGCCAGTCTCTGCCTGGGCGAGCTTCCGGTTTGGCCACTGTAGCCACATGCCTGCCTCAGTGTGAGCCCCTGTCCTGAGTCTCAGTAGGCACCAAGCAGAAGCTGAAGGACCCTGCCCAGGCTGCCCAGAGTCTCTGCCATGGAGTGACATCACGCTTTCCCCGCAGCGCCTCGGAGATCAGTGCTCATTGCATACTGTCCGCGCCCCTGTAGAGGCTACCTGCAGGCCAGTCCTGAGCAGTCTCCAGCACAGTGGTACACTGCCTTGTCCTATAAAGAAGCTGACCGCACACCCAGGACTCATGCCTGGTGGTGAGCAGGTATCTTGAATGTGGCCTTGGCTGAGTGCCAGCATGTCAGGTCCAGGCAGGACGTGCCACCCCTCTGTGGTTCCTGCCCGTAGTCTGACTCCCTTGCTGCTCCAGCAGACTGGACTCTGAAACTCCAGGTGAGCATCCACCTGACTTTGCTGAGGAAAACTCACCCTGGCTGTCCTCGGAAGCCTGTCCCACGTATTGCTCTGCCTGTGATCCCTGTCTCACCCTGGGACCTGACAGAGCTGTGGGCAGCCACTGGGCTCCGGTCACAGCGAGTCACATCCTGCAGGAGAATGGGCGGGGCCCAGTGGGAGGAAGGGGGAGTGGCAGCCCCAGATGCTGACGGTACTCAGTGTGAAGGGGGAATGGGACAAGGCTTGAGTGCGTGGCCCGGGACCGAGACATGGGGCCTCCCTGTGTGGAGGAAGGGAATCTGACAGTGAGGGCATGCCCTGCAGTCTGTCACTGTTAGTGTGGACACGTGTCCCCACCTCCATGTCTACTTTGCCCTCCCTGTCTCAGGACCACAGGGGCTTGTCCCTTACCTGGCTCTACTGGGGCCACACTACCGTGGGGTTGGAATCCAGGACATTTAAGGTTGCACCAGAACTGCATAATTCCTTGTTGTTCAGTGATGACAGAGGCAGCCCCAGCCCCACCTGTGACACTCAGAGGTGTCATAGAGTGGGGTTTGCACGTCCCTATCCCAGCACTCTGCCTTAGAGATTGTACTGCTCCCGAGGCATGTAGTTGGTACGGACTCAGCATCCCGAGAGGCCAGTGTGATGCTGCTGGCCAGGCTGAGTTCCGGCTGCCCTGCGCACCTCTGTGGGCACAGGCACCTTCTAGACAGCTTCCCACAATGGCTGCCTTTGAGGCGAGAGTTCCGTGTTTAGCAGTTGCCACAGTTCTTCACAGGTCACGATCCTGGGCTCCTTCCCTCCCGTGTAGGGGCAGTGCTTTTAAATGAGCCTCGGCCTCGCATAAGGCAGCCTGTCCAGCAACCACCCTTCCTACCCCCGCCGCACCCTCCCTAAATGACGGGTGGTTTTGCAGGTCGTTCTGGGACTTGACTTGGCTTTCACTGTAGCTGTTGTGACAGTCTGCCAGGGCCTTGGAGCTGCTGCTCACCCGGCAGTGGTGGGTACCAGTGTGCTTTCCCATCTGCTGCCACTGCAGACTATGGCTTCCTTCCTCATGGGGGACGGGTCTCTACGGGATTCATGATCAGAGCCCATTACTGGGTCTCACGGAGGGGTTTTCAACTCTCAAAAATGGTTCAGCATCTGTTGAAATCCTGAGTCAGTTCTGCTCCTGCTTATGCGGCAGCTGCTCTACATCCCCACCAGCAACGGCACCAAGCTTGTTGGTTTTGCTTGTGGGTGTATGTGACACGGCATTTCATGCAGCCGTGAGTCTGTCCGTCCCCCGCTCCACTGGGCAACCAAGCACATTCTCACGTGTTCCCACCCCGTGAGCAGCCACTGTAAGGGAGTGGGGGAGGGGCCGCTTTCGCCCACATGATGATGTCCTTCCCGATCTGTGAGTTCCGTCCCTGCTCTAGTCTACTGCTCATTGTTTCATCTTGCGTGACTTGTGTGTTCTTCGGTTACACTTGTTTATAGTTAACTGTTTGAGGCTGGCTTTCCACTGTCTTGAGCAGCTCTTAATTTCATCTCGTCAGCGCACCTATCCCGTCCGTCATGACTGAGCCTGTGTTCTGCCTCACAGCTCTCTTCCTCCCCTGTGGTGGCTCCTATGACCAAAGTCCCAATTCCTTTGTTTCTTGCTTTTCACATTCAGGTTTCTAATTCTGCGACACTGCTCTCTATGCCTGGCCTGGTTTTTGTCCGGTTTTGGTGGTCGTGGGGACAGAATGCAGAGCCTCGCACGCACTAAGCAAGTGTTCTAATATGGAGCTGCACCTCAGACAGGGTCTCCTAAGTTGCCTCCAGCTGTGATCCTCTGCCTCATCCTCCTGAGTAGCTGCGACTATAGGCCACGAGTCTGGTTTCAGTCCCATAGAGGACACTCAGGTATCCACCTGTGGCTGCACTGCTGGCTTCTGCAGGTCTGGACAGTCTCACATATTTGCACCTTGGCGGGAGGCTCATGTATTGTGTGCCGGCCCCATGTTCTCTTAGTCACTACAGCTTTAGAATAATTCCAAGAAAGGGATGTCGGCCCACCTCGTCTGCACCAGTCTGGGGCATCCCAACTCTCTGCTCTTGCAAATGGACGGTAGGATGTTTTCCTCAGATGAGGGCGGAATAGTGCCAGCTCCTGCTGGGAGTGAGTTTCGCAATGTGCCGTCCAAGTTACACAACATGCTGCTTGTGTGCTTAGCTCTTTGCTGCTGTGGTACCGCAGGACAGTCCCGACCCCAGGGTAAGGGCTTGGTCCCCACTGCTTTGCCCTCACCTCAGTTGCCAGCCACTAGCATTCACTCCTAGAATGACCTGCAGAGCTCAGGAATGCTGTGCTTGGGATCACGGCTTTATTACAGGCATACAGGGGGAGGCCCACTGGAGACACCCCCAGAGCTGGGTTTGGGCCCTGTCCTGACCCTCTGTGCCCTCCCACTCGTGTGCACACCAGCATGCTTGCTGCTGCAGTATTCTGTGCCTGCCAGGTCACCACAGCGGCATTGCTGATGGTGTCGCTGGCCGCAGGGGTGGACTCAGGCTCCAGCTGCCGCCCCTCCCTGGAGGTCGGGTTGCCATGGCCCAAAGCCCCATTCTGGGTCAGACTTGGACTGTCTGGTGACCATTCCTGTGTTGGGTGTCTTGTTAGCACCAGCTGGGGTGTGAGCCAGAGGCTCCAGGGTGACAAATGGAATTTCTTTCTTTTTTTTTTTTTTTAGTCTTTTTGGGATAGGGTCTTGCTATGCTGTTCAGGCTGGCCTTGAATTCACTATATAGCTCAGCCTGGTCTCAAACTCACAAAGACCCTCCTGCCTCAGCCTCCCGAGTGCTGGGATTACAGGTGTGCGCCACCATGTCCGGCACAAATGGAATTTCTGAGGGCTTTGAGGTATATCATTTTCTCCCTGATAGCTTCCCAAGTAGTTGAGATTATAGGTCTAGTCATCCTGGCTTTTGCTGCTGCTATGAACAGGGGCTCTCTAATGCCTGTGGGATTAGAAGACAGCAGAGGCGCATTGGCCCTGTATAGAAAGCCCACGGCCGGGGCCTTGAGGATCGGTTAGTGGAAACTGAAAGCTTACTTCCGGGGGTGCCAGGATGCTCTGAGGAATTTAGTTATGGAGCTTGTTTTCTGGAGGAGGAATGAGCACTGTGAAGCACACTCAGCCTGTCACTCTCACCTAGGGTGGCTGGGGAGGCCTCTCCCAGACGGTGATACTGGACTAAGAATGGAGATGGTGGGTGAGAAATGCAGAGGCCTTTGGGGCAGAAGAGCAAAATGGCTGCAAGTGTGAAGGTAGAGCAGGGACATGGGGGGCTGTGTGGGCCATGTGGACACCGGTATCCACTCTGAGCACAGAGTATGCCGTGGCTGGCCAGGAAACCAATTCCAGGCCTTTTCCAGGATTTCTGATGCCTGTGGAAGGAAGGAGGGCCGTGTTCTCAGCCAGGCTTTGATGGGGTGGGGGAGTGGGAGCCCCAGGGGATGCCATGCTGCGACACTGCTGGCTGCGGGGGGGGGGGGGACTTGGGAGCTCTGTGGGATTGGTGGGCAGTAAGCTGGCAGTGTCTTGTGAACTGGGTGGGAGAAGCAGTCCAGGGCAAAGTCTCACACCCAGAGAATTGCAGTGAGGCTGAGTCCAGAGATCAGAGGTCAGGGAGATGAGGAGGGGCCCAGCAGGCACGGAGCAAACTGAAAGGGCAGCGGCCTGCTTCAGGTATGGTGAGCTGGGTTGAGGCTGAGCACCTATTAATGATTCCCTTCTGATTTGATAAGTTATCTGAACAGATTTTCTGATACTGTTATATATTTTTTGGGCTAAATCCAATTTCATCATAATTTCAGTTACTGGATTCAATTTGCTGGTTTCTCTTTTGTACAGTTCCCATCTGGCTTTGATGTGTCGTGTTTATCCTTTCCTTCGGGGTTTGCAGAAGGTAATTCTAGTTGGTTCTGCAGTAAGAGCCTCTGGGCCTGTTGTCCTTTGCTTGTTTGTTGCAGTTCTGGGGCTGGAACCTAAGCCTGTGTGTTAGGCCAGTGCTCACCGAGATCCACTCCAGCCCCAGCTGGTTTTTTAAAACCAGCAATTGTTGTTTTTCAGTGGTAATAGGGTTATGAATTACACAGTTTTTTTGTTTCTTGTCTTACATT